AAAAACAATAAGACAAGGAAGCGGGGCAACTATGTCCAAACCAACTTGACTCCTGCTGTCCGAGACCGACCTCCATCTAGAAGACAGTGGCGAGGGTCACTCATCCGAGCCCTTCAGGAACACGACCTCCTGCCTGATATTGTTGTCACCCCTGCTGTTGGTTCGTCTCCTTCTCCCTGGCTGGATTTTCAACCTGAAGTGATTGCCCTCGGTGGACCGCTCCCGAAGTCCCAGGTGAACCCTGTTATTCTCTGCAAATACCACCTCTCCAGGATCGCCCACTGGTCCCCAGGTAGGGTCGTCCTCTACACTGATGGTTCTGTTGACCCCGCTACAGGTAGGGCCGGGGCTGGTGTCTACATCTCCCGTCCTCATGCCCCTGAGCCTATCAAACTGTCTCTCAGAGTTTCTGACGGGGCATCCTCCACTCAGGCTGAACTAATAGCCCTCCTTGCTGCCCTTCTCGCTGAGGAAGAAGCAGATGGTTTCTGCCCCTTGCTTGTCTGCTGCGATTCCAGGTCTGCTCTCGACGGGATCGCATTTGGATCAGGGGAAAATAAGGACCTCATCCTCCGAATACGAGGGTTAACATCCACACTGCAGGATGCAGGCCGTCCTGTGACATTCCTATGGATACCTAGTCATGTCGGTATCTTGGGGAATGAGGCAGCAGATGGCCTTGCCAAGACTGGCTGCAACAAGGCCACACCTGACTACGTTGTTCCTCGAACACTCTTACAGATTAGGACCCAAATTCGCCGCAAACAGGGAGAAGCTCGGGAAGCAGCCATCCCCCTGGACTCCCTGGACTTCCCGCCCACCTGGTACGATGTCCTCCGTAAACTTCCTGACCTCTCGTACGTCTACGGGAAAGGGTCGCGGAAAGGGGACGTGATTGCTGCCCGTATCATCATTGGGTATGAGTTTGCTTGGGAGATTGGTATCCCCGCATCCCCTGAGCAACGCTCTTGTGCATTATGCAGAAGACCCGACAGCAGCACCCTTTTCCACTACCTCCTAAGATGTCCCCACACACAACGCTTCCGTGACGCCTGCTGGACCACCACTCCACGACCCCCTGACGGAGACACGATGATCCTCCCCATACTGGCCAGATATTTTGTAAATAATATTGATTATGTGTTAAAGGAATATCCGTCCTTCCTTAGGCTTTAGTAAGCCCCTTTATAATATTTATACTGTATATACTTGTCACACTTGCCAGATGCTTCTGGTGTCATTGTACAGGGGTACCTAGTGACAGCACTCGGATCCCGCTTCCTCTATCAAGGAATAAACAATTGAAATTGAAATTGAAGACAAGGAAGTTAAAACCCACAAGTCACACAACTAAACCATTATGACAGAACACACATACTAAGGACTTGATCAGGTAAACATTTAACATTACAAACAGAAGCTTCATGTGATACAACAATCAGTAAGTATGTGATTCATCAACTGTCTCAGAAAACGTGAATTTACTGACATCAACAATACAATCCATTGACAAACATCAACTTTATTCCCTTCTCACTCTCTTAGCTTCCATTTCTTTTTTCTTTTTTAACTTTGGAACTATTTTTTTGGGGGGTGGGGGAGGAGGGGGGAGAAGGGAGGGGCACGAAAAGGGCGAAGGAAAACAGTAATTAAAATAAAGATCCAAGAATACACGTTGATATCATAACCTGACCAAACCTAACCTAACCATCATACACTCTCCTGCATCCACGTTGTGCAGCACTTGGGTAACGTTATTACCACCACGTCGCTCGCTCGCCACTGTGAAGGAACAGTTAGTATACGTGTCCATACTTGTACTGTAAAAAACGTGGATGCAGGAGAATGTATGGACTATGAGGAACAACCCAGACTTGCTCAACCCGGCGGCTGCTCTGCCAATAATGTCCCGAGTGCCTTTCATTGAGTAAGAAACACCGTTGACTTTCGTTAGAGTAAATTATTACTAGTCCTCTTCCATATACATCACAGTACCTTATGCAAACCCAATGCCAATATTACTTTATCATCAACTAACATTCCTTCATCGCTGCCCACAACTCCTCTACCCAAATATTCAGCTTCGTGTAACATGTGTCTAACGTAGCTCCTGTATGAAAGACATGTGATGTTATGCATCTTTGTTTAGTGGGGACTGTGCTAGTACCGAATAGTGCTGCTAGTACCGAATAGTGCTGCTAGTACGGTATAGTGCTGCTAGTACCGTATAGTGCTGCTAGTACCGAATAGTGCTGCTAGTACCATATAGTGCTGCTAGTACCGAATAGTGCTGCTAGTACGGTATAGTGCTGCTAGACCATATAGTGCTGCTAGTACCGTATAGTTCTGCTAGTACCATATAGTGCTGCTAGTACCATATAGTGCTGCTAGTACGGTATAGTGCTGCTAGACCATATAGTGCTGCTAGTACCGTATAGTGCTGCTAGTACCATATAGTGCTGCTAGTACCATATAGTGCTGCTAGACCATATAGTGCTGCTAGTACCGTATAGTGCTGCTAGTACCGTATAGTGCAGCTAGTAGGGTATAGTGCTGCTAGACCATATAGTGCTGCTAGTACCGTATAGTGCTGCTAGTACCGTATAGTGCTTCTAGTACGGTATAGTGCTGCGAGACCATATAGTGCTGTTGGTAGCATAAAATGCTGCTAGTACCGTATAGTGCGGCTGGTACCAAATACTGCTGCCAGTACCGTATTGTGCTGCCAGTACCGTATAATGCTGCTAGTACCATATATAGCTTCTAGTACCTTATAATGCTGCTAGTACCATATAATGTTGCTAGTACCATATAAAGCTGCTCGTACCGTATAATGTTGCTAGTACCGTAAAATGCTGCTACTACCATAGAAAGCTGCTTGTACCGTATAATGCTGCTAGTACCCTATAATGCTGCTAGTACCATATGAAGCTGCTAGTACCGTATAATGCTGCTAGGACCGTATAATGCTGCTAGTACCATATAATGCTGCTTGTACCATATAATGCTGCTAGTACCATATAATGCTGCTACTACCGTATAATGCTGCTAGTACCATATAATGCTGCTAGTAACGTATAATGCTGCTAGTACCGTAGAATGCTGATAGTACCATATACTGCTGCTAGTAACGTATAATGCTGCTAGTACCGTAGAATGCTGATAGTACCATATACTGCTGCTAGTACCATATAATGCTGCTAGTACCATATAATGCTGCTAGTACCATATAATGCTGCTCCTTTATATGTTGGTTTCTAAGTAGAGATAATGACAAGCATCGGGTAGTAAAGTAAAGTAACAATTTTAGAGAACTTTCAAACCTGCCCCAAAAGTTTATCAAGTGTAAAATAAAGAACATAATGTAAGTGGAGGTACAGTATTCCTCAGCTGTGGCGCTGTTTTCTATCCTATTATGTCTGTCTGTACATCTGTCCCCAAAATAACCCAAGAACAGTTATGCGGATCTGCACCAAACTTGATAGGTTTAATCAACAGGTGACCAGGTCACTTGGTAAGCGTTTGGTGCACATACCGCCAAAGTTTACCAAGTCATAAGGGTTCGTGCAATGACTTACAGTAACAGCGCCACTGTTTCAATATTTACCTTGCCATGGTAACTGTTCGTGGGCATTATCACAAAACTTAGGTTCATCCCACAGTCTCGACATGTACAGACCAAAGGAGAACTCCCAGTTGAGTCCTGGAAGCAACTCAGTTGAAGGCATCAATTTCTAACTGGCCGTCGCTACGCCCGACCCCAGGACTATCAAGACACACATTCCTCTGTCGCTACTTCACCCAACACTCCTCAACATTTGTAAGATAACCATAATTACTTTTATTTCATCACGTGTTTCGACTTTAAGAGTATGAGTGTGCTCCCACTCTTACCTTTTGATCATATATCGACCAAACATATAATGATTACTATCATTAACCAGCCTGTACGTTGTCAGGTGGTATTTTTTTTTACGGGGATTAGCCTACCCGGGCACAGGTCACTGACCCACATCAGGGCCTGAGGGGCGAAAATGTAATTAATAATAATAATAATAATAATAATAATATTAAGAATAAGAATAAGAATAAATCAAAATTAGTAAATAAAAATATCATAATATAATATATAAAATAATATAAACAAATATAATATAATATATATAATATAATATAATATAATATAATATAATATAATATAATATATATTAAAAGACCATAAATGAGAGAAAAAAAAGATCAGTAGTTAGAAACGATATATGTACTGTATGTTGTGTTGTCAAAGTAAGAAAAACAATTGAGACCCAGCAATTGTGTGTAAATGAGGCAGAAAGTCAGATTAGCAACCTGGGACTTGGTCACAATTTTTGTGATGCCATATGGCAGCAGGGTCTACTATTAGACAATACATTATGCTTCCAATAACTTCTCAGGCGGTAGTACCTCCCTGTTTGATAGCTGCCTACTACCTGTTGGAAAGAAATTGTATTTAATTGTGAAATAGAGGTTAAGGTCATTGTAACTAAGATACTGAGTACTGATCCAACCTCCAAAAATCTGTCCATTTAATTCCACAGATTATTGAGAGGCAGGAGTTAAGGATCCTGGAGGCGTTGTTACAGAGAGAAATGACGCTCTTAGATGAGACCAAGAGGGAAAAAAGAACAGCAAAAATTACATTCTTGCTAATACACTCTTAGAGGCTGGCCAGGAAGGGACCGCTAAATCTCACGTAAAGACAAATGTGTGAATACAAACTACAGTGTAGATGTGTCCTCGTTGGGCTGATGATTCACAGTTGGATTCATTATTATGTTCATTATTCACCTGGAAGATTTATTTTTGATTATGTCTGAGTGAGTGTGGATTTGTAAGACCAATTTCGTAAAGACAAGTCAGATGTTACTCCGGTGCATTAGTACTGATGTTTAGTGTGAAGTTTAAAGACACTAATTAATTGGAGGTTATGTAAAAAATTGCATATACGGGTAAATAATATTTTTGTTTATTATCCACAGGAGGGAAGTGATCATCTCTGTTCGTTATCAATTAAGAGATTACATCTACTCTCCTGCAGCAGTAAGTAAGGTGTTTAAGAGAGAAGGTGAAGAGAAAATTAAGGAAAATTACTACACGTTGTGTTAAGCTACCACATCTTACTTTTGTTGCTGGGGGAATTTCTGACGTTAACCCTGAATTGTTAAAAATTAACCGAATTTCATCTTAGTTAATTTGTCATTAGCCCTAGCATCGCTTATGTAAGTCAGCCACCATGCACCACACTGAAAATATGTATCTTTTACAAAGAGGAGTGTGTTAGATGAAATATAATATAATCAGGTAAAGGCTTGCTGTGGACAGAGGTTGAAGAGAGTGATGACAAGAGTGGCAGGGTGACGGGGAGCGGCCCTAAGGGTGGGTGAAAAGCAAGACTACCTTATCTGGGAGTTAGTTCCTGCCTGGAGAGCCGCGGGGTGGGGAGATAGATGATTTTGCCGCTACAGCCACTACTTTATTGTGCACTCCCACACTCCATCTGGGCGAGAGCGGTAGGCAAAAGGCCACACAGAGTAGGCTCTATAAATGGGTCAAGGGCTACCACCTCGTGTAATAGGAGGATATGGCATTGAATGGTACACAGTATTACCATATTATTTGTTTAGTTTCTATACATAAAGAGGCAACGGTTCACAACTGTGTGAGGCACAGGCGTGTGTGTGAGTGTGGTATGTTCAAGCCGCAATACTTTGTTGAAGGATGCTTGTGTGGAGAAGATGAAGCACATTGTGTACGGGATCTACAGATAATAAGTGCAAAAAGTGGATACACTCTAATATGTTTGCTATTTTGGCCATTAGAGATGAAGCAGCAGTTATTTCACACACACAGTGTGTTTGGACTCGTTCTTAAAAGGTTCATCTTCACAACAGTCAAGGACGTAGTGTTCGAGTGTGTGGCCATATGTCTGGTCACACACTTTTACATTTAGTCTTGTTTACGTCTGCTTGAGTGAACATACTGCCATAGGCAGTACTTATATTCAATTCCACCCATGGTTAAGCAACATTTTGCACCCAAAGTGATTCAGCATTGCTCCACATACAGTACATAAGCCTTTGACATACATTCTCATCATGGTAAAACTATGGACGATTAGTGCCTGTTTAAATGAAGTCTACTTGCGTCAAATTACCACTGTTTCTTTCTGGACACAGTTTATGGTTTTTGACAGACTCAAATTGTAATCAATAGCAGCCTTTTGAAATAGACGCGAGTTTGGACGAGTATGTCAACTTTGGTCATGTTTTTATGAGGCCCAGGGAGAGGGGGACCACAACAGTTGGGAGGCACGGGGTGTGGGAGAGGCACGGGGTGTGGGAGGTACGGGGATGGGGAGGCATGGGGTGGGAGGAGGCACGGGGGGTGGGAGGCACGGGGTGTGGGAGAGGCACGGGGTGGAGGAGGCACGGGGTGGAGAGGCACGGGGGTGCAAGGAGGAGGGCAATGGGGTCAGGGGGAGGGGCACGGGGGAGTGTAGGGAGGCACGGGGAGTGTAGGGCACGGGAGTGTAGGAGAGGCACGGGGAGGCACGGGAGGGGAGGCACGGGGGGTGCAGGGAGAGGTATGGGGGTGTAGGAGGCACGGGAGGTGTGGGAGAGATGGGGTGTGGGAGAGGTATGGGGGTGTAGGAGAGGCACGGGGAGTGTAGGAAAGGGGTACGGAGGGTGTGAGAGGAGGCATGGGGGTGTGGGGGAGGTACGGGGGTGTGGGAGAGGGGGGTGGGGAGAGGCATGGGGTGTAGGAGAGGTACGGGGGTGTAGGGAGAGGCACGGAGGTGTGAGGAGGCATGTGGGGGTGGGAGGTGGTAGGAGGTAATGGGGAGTGTAGGAAAGGTACGGAGGGGTGGAGAGAGGTACGGGGGGGGGGGGAGGTAATGGGGGGTGGGAGGTACGGGGTGGGGAGAGGCATGGGGGGGTGTAGGAGAGGTACGGGGGTGGGAGACGCACGGGGGTGGGAGACATGGGGTGTGGAGGAGGCACGGGGGTGGGGAGGAGGTACGGGGGTGGGAGGTACGGGGGTGGAGAGGCACGGGGGTGGGGAGGAGGACGGGGGGTGGAGAGGCACGGGGGGTGTGGGAGACGAACGGGGGGTGTGTGGGAGAGGCACGGGTGTGGAGGAGGCACGATGGGGTGCAGGAGGAGGCAACCGGGGGTGAGGAGGTACGGGGTGCAGGAGAGGCATGGGGTGTAGGAGGAGGCACGGGGTGTAGGAGAGGTGGGTGTAGGAGGAGGTACGGGGTGGAGGAGGGGGTGTGGGAGAGGTACGTGGGGTGGAGGCATGGGGTGTGAGAGGTAATGGGGGTGTAGGAGGTACGGGGGGTGTGGGAGGAGGCATGGGGTGTAGGAGGAGGTACGGGGGTGTGGGAGAGGTACGGGGTGGGAGGCACGGGGGTGGAGAGTTACGGGGGTGTAGGAGAGGCACGGGGGTGGGAGAGGTACGGGGGTGTGGGGGAGGTACGGGGGTGTAGAGGAGGCATGGGGGTGTAGGAGAGGGCACGGGGGTGTGGGAGAGGCATGGGGGTGTGGGAGAGGCAATGGGGGTGTGGGAGAGGCACGGGGGTGAGAGAGGTGGGTGTAGGGGAGAGGCACGGGGGGGGGAGGCAATGGGGGCAGAATGGGGGTGTAGGAGGAGGCACGGGGGTGGGGGAGGCATGGGCAGGAGCACCTGGGGGTGTGGGGGAGGCACTGGGTGTGGAGAGGCACGGGGTGTGGAGGAGGCACGGGGGGTGCAGGAGGAGGCACGGGGGTGTGGGAGAGGCACGGGGGGTGTGGGGAGGCACGGGGCAGAGAGGCATGGGGGTGAGGAGAGGCATGGGGGAGATAATGTGAGAGGCACGGGGGTGCAGGAGGAGGCACGGGGAGGAGGCACGGGGGTGTGGGGAGGCACGGGGCAGGAGGAGGCACCTGGGGTGGGGAGGAGGAGGCACGGGGGAGGAGGCACGGGGGTGTGGGAGGAGGCACGGGGGGTGTGGGAGGAGGCACGGGGTGGGAGAGGCACGGGGTGGGGAGGCACGGGGTGCAGGAGAGGCACGGGGGTGTGGGGAGGCATGGGGTGTAGGAGAGGCATGGGGTGTAGGAGGAGGCACGGGGTGTGGAGAGGCATGGGGGAGGTACGGGGGCAGGAGAGGCACGGGGGTGTGGGGAGGTACGTGGGGGTGTAGGAGAGGCATGGGGTGCAGGAGAGGCACGGGGGTGTGGGGGAGGAGGTAGGAGGTGAATGGGGGTGAGGGGAGGCACGGAGGTGTGGAGGAGGCAATGGGGGTGGGGAGAATGGGGGCAGGAGGCACGGGGCAGGAGAGGCACGGGGTGTGGGGAGGCACGGGGGGTGCAGGAGGCAATTGGGGTAGGGAGGCACGGGAGGTGGAGGAGGCACGGGTGTGGGGAGGCACGTGGGGGCAGGAGAGGCACGGGGGTGAGAGGCACTGGGGGTGTGGGGGAGGTACGGGGTGGGGAGAGGCACGGGGGTGTGGGAGGAGGCACGGGGTGTGGGAGGCACGGGGGTGGGGAGGCACGGGGTGCAGGAGAGGCAAGTGTGGGAGATAATGGGGGTGAGGAGGAGGCAATGGGGGACAGGAGGAGGCACGGGGTGTGGAGGTACGGGGTGGGGTGGCATGGGGGTGCAGGAGGAGGCAATGGGGTGTGGGGGAGGTACGGGGGTGTGTAATGGGGGTGCAGGAGGCACGGGGGTGTGGGGGAGGCACGGGGGTGTAGGCACGGGGGTGTAGGGGAGGCACGTGGAGGTGGGAGAGGCACGGGGGTGTGTGGGGGAGGCACGGGGGGTGTAGAGAGGCACGGGGCAGGAGAGGCACGGGGGTGTGGGGGAGGCACAGAGGAGGCATGCAGGGGAGGCACGGGAGGTGTGGGAGGAGGCACGGGGGTGGGGAGGCAATGGGGGTGTAGGAGGAGGCACGGGGTGTGAGAGGGCATGGGGGTGGGGGAGGCACGGGGGGTGTGGGAGGCACGGGGGTGGGAGAGGTACGGGGGTGTGTGGGAGGAGGCACGGGGTGTGGGGAGGTACTGGGGGTGGGAGAGGCAATGGGGGTGGGGAGAGGCATGGGGTGTAGGTACGGGAGGTGTAGGAGAGGTACGGGGTGGTAGAGGTACGGGGGTGAGAGAGGTACGGGGGTGTGGGGGAGGCATGGGGTGGGAGAGAGGTACGGGG